CCTCCACCTGGCCTCAGATTTTGTCTCTCGGCTATATTTTCCTCATCTTGCCACTGTATTTCCCAAGACCATTGATAGCCATGTGGGTTGCAACACTTAAACATCACTCTTCTCTTTGCTTCTTCCAGGGTAACCCTTCAATGAGAGTATGGGTTCAGCAAGTGACTCTACAATGAGACTGTCAGAATTCAGGTTCTCATTCAGCATTTGCTAGCTATGGACAAGGATTAAACACCATAATCAATAAACCTCAATTTCCTCATCTGCAAGAGGGGAAAGGGAAATTTTTTATATCACAGCTGTTACAGTGATTAGATAGGATAATTCCCACGTGACTGTTCATTGAGAGCAGTGCACATAATAAATGCTCATTAAAGGACATCTGTATAGGATGTGTATATATTAACCTTTATTTTAAAAAGAAAAATCTTAACAATCAAGTATTTTGGCCTATTCTTTCAAAGACAAAGCAACTGAAGCCCAGAGAAGCAATAACTTGATTAAGGCCTCATAGCTGGTTAGCAGATATACTGAGACTAGAATCCTGGTCTTTTTATTCCAGTCCAACATTCTTTCTCTTACATACATTACAGAGCATATAGAACATAGAGTGCCCTAGAAATGCCCTAGTTAATATTTCTCCAAAACAATTACAAATTGTTGAAACTGTTAAACTAATGAAGGAAAAAATGCAAGAATTAAAATAAAACAACACTTTAAAAGAGGTTAAAAAATTGTAGGGCTAAAATTCAGGAAAGAATTTGGAGGTCTACCAGTTTGTCTGTGCTTGTGGGCAGAATACCATATATATTTCCCTCAGAATGCAAAAATAGAAAGGAAAATACTATCAAATGCCACTGGATAGTTGTCAAGAAAAGCCAACAAAAATGATTACTTTAGCAATATAAAAGTGCTCCACAAAAGCATAATAATCAACAATATTTAAGCAGCATACCACTGAGTATCTGACAAGGTGCCCATGTTTTATAAACAGCATTTATGGACTTTCACAACTCAAATTTTCACTCTTTATGAGCTGTGCATAAATTTGGGAAGTGGTTGAAACCACATTTCACATCAAAAGCGCTTATGAGGCACCCTGCTAAATAAGTGTAAATATCCTTGGGAAATCTCACAGCTCAATGGAAATGGATCTCTTTTTTGGACAGCTAAAAAGTGGGTGGTTTCCCTGGGATTTAGGTAAATGTTGTGGGAAACACACAGAATTTCCACAAATCCAGAAATTTGGGCTGAGTGTTTCATTTTCATATATATAATTATCATTCTGGAAATTATAAGTGCCGTATCAGTTCTTTTTGCTAATAGTTTGGCTACTGAACACATATTATATAAAAGTTATTTTCTAGCATGGATCAAACCACATCTGGGCCACTAAAGGACCGTCTTATTCATATTTTGTCCCAAAGCATATAAAGGTATTGCATACTTACTTGTAGAATTTCATTGAGATTATTAATATAATAATTTTAAATGCTGCTACCTGAATTTCCTCATATTTCCACTTCCAGTGAAAACTCCCTAAGATCAAAGGACTGTATCTTATTCATCTTTGTGATCCCAGTACCAAGCATAGCACAGTTACTATAAGTGGAAAGGAAAAGGAAAAAAAGAATGGAAGGAAGCAATAAAGGGAGAGGGAAAGAGAGAGAAGGAGGAAGAAGGGAAACAAAAGGGGAAGAGAGGAAGAGGTGGGGAGGTGCAGTTAATTTTTCTATTCAGAGAATGGCAAAGGGAAACCCCTCTTCCCCAGATCATTGTTAATGACCTTAATTTGAAAATCATAATAAGACCGTGAAAATAAAATCCAGCCATGGTCAATATATAGAAGATCTACGGTGACTCAGAATTCCATTTCGTTCTAGCACTGCCAAGTACCCTGTGGCAGCCACCCAGTCAGTGTCGCTGATTGACAGCCACTTGAATGGGTTAATGTAGTCCTGCGACATCACTGAACATGGCCACAGCAGAATTTTTGAAGTCCTGTGTTAGGGCAAGTCAATGGGCTACCCTGGAGTAAAGGAACCAAAGCAGAGAATTCCTTTTCTGAGAGCAAATGAGCACACTGCTCAGTAGGAGACTCAAGAACATAATCATTAAGGGAGCTTGAAGATTTTCTCCTAATAGATGAAGGCATCAGTGTTCTATAGATGCTTTAAACACTCTTCTTCCTACAATATGATGAAATTTTTAGGTCATAGGCATATTGCCAGCTGGGTCCTCAGAATAGTGAAAAAGGGAAAAGGACACAAAGTCAGAAAATTAATTAACTTCAAAGGTCCTAACTCAAGTTGTGTCTACCGTCAACAATAGTAACAATATTAAATTTAAAAAAGGGAAAAAAGACATTTTAAATTTATGAATAATTTCTACAGATATTAAATCAGTGATCATATTAGGTCCAAAATTTTTAACCCTTTTACTCAAAAAAACTATTTCTCTAGATTCTCTCCTTAGACATATTTTATCTGCACCTCAGTTTCAGTCTCTTAGCTCTTTTCCTATCCCCTCTAGGTAGCCATAAAATCCTAAATCAAGGCCATGGTAACCAAACATTTCCAAAGAGAACAGCACAACTGAAAATACTGCTATTTTAACCTGGACTGGAATGAAACCCAATGCAGATGGAGGAAAGTTGATACAGAGTCTCTGGGAATCTGGGACTCATATGATGTGATAGATCTCCTTGTCATCTCTGGTTTCTGTGATTCCGGGATATTCACCACAACTGAGTAATCTGTGCTTGTCACATACAGCAAGTGAGGCTAATAGATTACTGAGTTCAGAAACAAACCACAGGCAGCATGTCAAAACTGAATCAAGAAGACAATATCTATCCAAAGCTGAGAGAAAGTAGAAAATAAATTGCCCTTGATGATTAATTTCAAATCGAAACTCACCTCCGCTTGCAATCACCTTTCAGTGCACATTATGCAATCCTTTTAGTTGAGACATTTTTCAGATGGAATTTGTAAGTTGAGTACAAAGTATAATCAATATTTACTTTCAGCAACTAGACACATTTTTTAATGTGTCTAGTTAGAAAACTTGCAAAAAAAATACATGAATGGGTGAATACACTATTATCTGTAAATTAAGTCTAGCCAAATTTTGTTCATTCAACATCTGACATTTGTTGAGTACTTACCACATAAAATATTTGGAGTAGTTTATTTGATATCATAATTTGAAAAATAACAAAGTGGAATTTTCTTTAAATATATTATATATTAGACTTTTCATGAATTCAAAGTCTTTTTTCTTATTAACCCAAACAATGAGTTTATACCTAAAATGGCATCATATGTTTGTGTCTATACTCAAAATTTTAGAAACGCTGGTTAAAAAATTATGGTGTGAACAATACTAATTATGTTCTGTATTTAAAAGCATGACTAGTCCCTGAAATTTAGAGAATGACACGATAGTTTGACACCATCCAAAGTGATTTCCAAACATCTTATCTGAGGCCTGAACATTAAAACCAAAGAAAAAGAGTTAGCTTGATTTGTTTTGCTAAGTAAATTAAAACCAACACCTCAGTCTTTATCACATACCTTACATTTCCTGAGGAAAATTTTCATCTTCTTAACATCAAGGTCAGGCCCTTGGGGTAGGTTTGTAGTTACAACAAATATTTAAAGTAAGTCACTGGTAGAAAGAAACATGTGATTTTTGTGGAGCTGGAGTGCGACAGGTTGCTGGTAATAACAATAGTATAATCCCAATTCTTACTCAGAATTTTAGGGGTAAAATGAAAGAAGTATACTTGAAAATGTCAGAGGGATCATCAGCCATCCTGTAGCATCTAATCTGGAGAAATGTATACTGAGGCAAGTGCTTAATGATTATTTTTAGTCTGAAGGTGAGAGGCTGGAATATACCCCAGACCACCCTCATGAACTAGGTACTTTCTCAAGGTCATGTGACCCTGTCTATATTTGGACCCATGAGCAAAGTGTGGTTAAATCTGTGGGGTTTGAAAGGTCTAAGTAAACCCCAATTTTTAAGTTGGCACAGAAACAACTTCAAGGATCTTTGGAGACAGCCAGTGTCCATGAGTCATACTAGGTCAGAGAAAGACCTGGGAGCTACTGGCCTCCTGAATCACTGTGGCTCTACTGGGGTGGGGAACAAACCTATTCTCCAGAGCTAAAACTCTGTCAAATTTTTCTTGTTCCTCCGATGTTCTATTCTAATGCTGCACAGGCATTTTGGCCAATAATAGTGAAAACACAATAACTTGAGTTAGAGTTCCAAAGCGAAGCTAATCCAGGCCCTTTATGTAATTATAGCCAGTCCTTAATTACTTATGTATACGAAAGAAAAGAGTGTCTTTGATAATAAAATAATTTATCCTTGAGTTCAATATGCATATTTGGAGTTTTTTCTTTTGTTTTTGGCAATGCCAGCAGACTTACTTTCCTTATTATGATTGATCTTACTTAGTGTCACAATTAACAATCCCTGTGCACACACATACAAACACACATTACTCACCAAATGACGGTGGGTGGAATGCCCAGAACATATTGTAGAATAGGGGAAGGTGATCTGAGGTTAGGTTTTGGCTGCCAGCAATTCACACACTAGATTATCTGAATCAATAAAGAGTTTGCTGTATTTATACCACGTTCTCCTCAGAGCCAAATAATCACATTAGCCAATTCTGCCCCACAAAATATACGTAGCCTCAGCGATTACTTATTAGACTAAGTCTACCAACACAAGAATATTTTCTTTGAAGCAGGATTATCTAGCTTGACTGTTGACAGCAATCCAATAAAGATGATTGCCAGATCTCTCTAGTACTGGCTGCTACACAGGCGCTTCTTAAGCTTGGGGACGTCTGGAGAATGACGCACAAGCCCCCTCAATTTCCAGACCTCGCCACCCACGTCCCTCTCCCCGTGGTCCCGTGGCCCCGTGGCCCCGTGGCCCGTGGCCCGGCCGCCGCCCACCGCCCCGCCCTCCCGGCTCACCTATCTTGTCCTCGGCCCGGCTGCTCTCCGCAGTCTCCGTGGGAGGCTGGGCTGTCGCCTTGGCGGCGGCGTCCTCAGCAGCAGGGGTGGTGGCAGCAGCAGCAGTGACAGCAGCAGGCACGTCGGCTTGTTTAGGCTCCTCCTTGGCGGGGCCGTCTTCGGCCTTGGAGGACGGCGAGTTGTCGGTGGAAGCTTTCGTGGCACTTTCTGTCTCGGCGGCGCCGGCCTTCTCCTCGGCCGCCTGCTCCGGGGCCGCGTCGGGGGCGCCCTCGCCCGGCTTCTCCTCGGCCCCGGCCTGGCCCGGCTCCTCCGCCTTGGGCCCGGCGCCCGGGGCGGCCTCGGCGGCGCCCTCGCCCTCCTTCTTGGCCACGTCGGCGCCCGGGGCGTCCTCCTTCTTCTCGGCCGCTTCAGCCTCGGCAGCCTGGGCCTCTCCCTTCTTCTCTCCTTTGAGCTTTTTCCTCGTTATGTGTCCACGGAAGCTCGCCTGAATTTTGGTCGCGGCTTTATGAGCTTTGTCTTCGGGTTTGATGCCATCTTGTTCAATCTTTTGGTCCTCATCATTCTTTTCAACCTTTGCGGAGAAAAGAGGGACAAAAAGGAGAGCTCTCTTGGTGTCCTCTGCCTCCTCATCAGAGCAGTCAACAACACGCATTGAGCCCTGAGCAATTTACTAGGCGCAAGGCAGCCTGGAGTCGGGAATCCATCCCTGGAAGTTCAAATCCAGCCTGCTACCGCTCCCCTGGTACTTTCTAGGGAAAACTATGGTCTTTTTGACCTCATGAGTCACCGGTACAATTTCATATGCATCCCTTCCCCAGTGCAGTTGCTCTACTCTGCTATCTAGGGCATCCTTTATAAAAGATGAAGGGAGAAGAAAGAAAAGGAGAACAGAAGGAAAAGAATGGAAGCAAAGCGTTTGTAGTACGGAGGGGAAGAAGGGTTGAAGGGGGGAGGGGAATGGGACACAAAGGAAGGAAGATAGATATATCATCTACAGGTACAAATTCCCTATGAGTGTGATCATTATGTATATCTAAAAAGCACTAATAAAAAAAATGAAAGATGTACCATGACAATTCCATTTGTCCTCTGTTTTAGTCAAAGCTTTCTGAACGATACTGTGTTTTCAGGATTTGTGGGAGATTCTGTAAAACTTTATAATTTAAAAAAAATATTATGTCAAAGTCTACATTCTCCCCTAATATTTTGAAATTAGTAAAGAAATCAATATAGCCAACAGAAAGAATATGGTGAATATACAGACAGTGAAGCCCATCAGGATTTATGCGAAATCTACGTGAATTCCACTGCTTTGAGGTATTTGTACAGAATTCGACAGCTCAGAGCACTGGTCTCAAAATGATTTCTGACTTCATCCTAAATGTGAGTCCCCATCAGTAAGAACCATACCGGGTCTTTACACTTGGAACATAAAAAAATGCTCATTATTCTATTTCCTTAAAAATAGAATCTTCTATAAAAAGTGAAAAATACTATTTCCATTTCTTCAAGAAGTGGCATATAGTCACTAAATTAAATTTGTCATCCCCAAAGCGATTTAAACCTAAAATTATCTATTATCATCAACAAAGTGATCCTGGTACTGAAGAAAAGAAGTAAGAAGGCAGAATTTTTAGTTTTTGAAGGCAATACTGGCAGCTTCACATGTACTGCAAGTGACATTTTTCTACTTGGAAATTAAATTACAGGGAAAAACTAAAAGATACAGGCAAATACACAAAATTCTAGAGAGCTCCGTTATTCAGCATGGCGCAGCAATTGGCTTCTGATGATTTGCATTCTTTCCTTGCTTTAACTTTTGAGCATTTAACTTTTGTTCACATTTGTGAGTACTGTTCTAGATCCTGGGAAATTTATAACAACGAGCAGGGAGCAATGTGCAACTTTCTTCAAAAGACCAATAGTAAAGGAGCATCTTCTACCATGTCCTGTGCTTGTTACAAATCTGCCCATGTCCTTGACCTTGGCCTTGCTCCACTTTAGGGGGTAAACCACAGCAGTCAACACACAATATGTTTTCCACCTGTCATACCAGCCCTGTCCCAGTGACCCAGATTCTGCCAATCAGGACACAATACTATTTGACATTCTTTGGTGGACAAGCACACAGGCCTGCCATTGCTTAAATCCATCACCATGTCAGTGGATACACAAATATATTTTTTCAAATAAGATATGCAAGAGAGTAAAAGCAGGATTGATAGCTTTCTCAGCAAACTTCAAGATCAATATTATCTTTTCCTCAGTTAATCGTGCATGTATCCATACAAAGAAGGAAGGGGTAACTGAAAAGTACTTTGGAAAGCACCAACGTGTTTTGGCCTCCCGGTGCCATGCTACAAATGCTTCTCTCAGTCTCTTGCTTACTCTCTCTTGCGCTCTCGCTCTCACTCTGTCTCTCTCTGCCACCTTCCTGCCACCCTGCTGTTCTTGATGACTGCTACTGGGATGCACACAGCACAATCTGGGGCACGGGAGCAGCTGTCCCTGCCAGGAGCTCTCCACTCCGAGATGGAATCATAACCCTGTAAAATTAACAGTTGTGAATGGAGCACAGAGCCAAGATGTTGCTATTTATTTTACTCCATCCTGATTTTCTGAATGAGGCACTTTTCTTATATGACAAGACATCTGTACTTGGGCACTGATGCCAAGTGGTTGTTTACTACAAATATTGCTCCTTATGGAAGAAGGGAAAACTGATCAGGGTGGGCAGGTGTACAGGAAAGACCCTCTAGTGGCTCAAGAAAACTGACACATTATAGCCTTGTTTACCCTCTAAGAAAACAAAGCACAAAGTATGGTGAATAGAACTTTTTAAAAAGTTGGAAAGCAAAAAGTAGAAAACTGAAGGTTTATAGGATACAAGGATTACAAGAATAAAGAATTTCTCTCCTCTCCCCTCCTTCATAGAGCATCTGCTGCTTTGACATTTCAAATGACCAGAATTTAAGCTTCTGTATCCAACAGCTATGTTAAAAAAAGACTATGTACAAAGGCTCAGACTAGACCGAGGTGCCTAAATTGTGGGACCAACCTCACACGAACAGTCCGGGAGTAAAAGTATGCAAGAGGGGGAAAGGTAGGCAACAGGCAAGAGAACAAGTAAAGACCAGTCAGGGGAAAGAAGTAAAGTCGATGACACAAGAGCCAGATATTCCACCGGGTAGATGCATTCTAAGAGATGGTCAAAGAACTCCGTAGGCATGGAGCTTGTCCTGGATCAAATAATTACACATTAACAGTTCCCTTCAGTAAACTAACAGGTATTAGAAATTGCTAGACTTCTTCATACATTAGAGATTTAGGGAAACTGGATATTAGCTTTGGTTGGAAGAAACACAACCAGTACTGTAAAGACTTTCCAGATAAAAGGAAAAATGGGGAGGGAGGGATGAAAACGGGAGGGTACAAGACAGATGTAAAATGTGAGTTTTTAACTAGACACTACTGGATTGGGTGTGTATGTCTTTCTTTTGTATTTGTAATTGATTCTTTTAAAAGGGCTCAAGCTACATATTATTTTCTGGTAAAAGTCCTTTTCCCTACTTAAAGTAACTGAACTGAGAGTATTTTTGTTGAGGGAGGAGAAAAGAACAAAACAAATATTTCTCATTACAGGCTGGCAGCTTAGAACTTTTTCTCCAAAGTTAAATAGGCTAATTTACTTGACAAAGGGTATTTTAGTCCACAGGAAACAGAAACCACTCAGTACATTCAGCAAAATGCTTTCAGTTTCTAAGAGAAAGTATAGCTCTGAAAAATTAAGTTATTTGCATAAATTCATAGAGGGAGGGAGTCAGTGGTCTAACTTGTATTTTGAACTCAAGTCCCTTCCTCCAAGGCCACCTAAGCCCAAGTCTAGTGGTTTTGTATCACTGACCTAGAATAACTTGGACTTTCTTATAGCAGGTAATCCATAAAGCATCAGGGCAACATTCTCATTCACTTCTTTATTTAACAGTACTGAATATCTGTGTGTCACACGGATGCTAGTGAGAGGATTGGTACATAAGGTTCTGGGAATGCATAGTTTTCAGAACTAAAAATAACCCCATCCATTTTCACAGAACATTTCAATGCATTTACATTTCCAATTATCATAGGGATACCTCAATTTTCCAAGCAAAGTAAAACTAAACCTAGTATCTACTTCTGCTAACTATAAATAGTAATATTGTAATCCTTCACACCTTCTCTAAATGATTAATTTTTAAATAATTTAAAAATCATTAATGTACTGGTTCACCATTCTAAGAATCTCTTTAGTAAACCAAAATATAGCCTATTGACTGAACAAAACAAAAAGATATTTTTGAGAAGTAAAATTGAAGGGTTAGCGACAACCTGAAGAATATTTTCTTTTGCACACTATAGATTTTATGCCTTTCAAAATCTTGTTTAGCTTGCAAAACAATCAGAATAAAGTGTTGGTAGATATATATGAAATCTGGCAAATACCCTCTATTTTTTACTAATAATTTGAGTTGAAATTCATGTAATAAATGTTTACTGTATTTTACATTATTAATATTTTGCATTATCAAATTTGTTAATATATTTTACAGAATATGTCTAAGTATTCAAATAGTTTACAGTGGAGCTTTTGTACTTTCTTTGAACCTACTCAAAGATTAGAAATATAGAGAAATGCCCCACATAAATGAGAGAAAGTGGGATGAATAGCCCCCTCTAGTTCTGTAAATGAAGTGTCTTTGTGCGTTTCTGAGCAGATGTAGAAACAGTTTGTAATATCAAACATGAATACTCCCAGTGGGGATATACAGGGTTTACATCAACACTAAGTTTGACTGGAAGGTCTAAGAGCATGAGGGGAATGCAGCCAGGATGTAGGTAGAAGCAGTGAATCTGTTAGGTCTTTGCTAACAATTGTTACGACTTATTCAAACTTTGGTTTTAAGTGCAGTAAAAGTCCCTTCTTAGCTATTGAGCGTGTGGGAGAACATATACCAGAATGACAGCAATTTCCAAGGGAATATGAGACATGCAGAATGGTGCTGGAAATCCTCACAGAGTAGTAGTGAAGGAACCTCTTTTCCCCTTTAAATGACGATCTAGCACATTGCCACATTTCTTGAGTCATAATAAGTGGACAAAATGTGCTTATTGATTAACTAAAAAAAAAGTAATGGCTTACATTGAAAACTTTTGGATATGTCAGACATAGCTCTAAGTTCCCTAACTGAATCAAGGATCAAAGTCAGACACTGAGTCAAATACCCTTTGAGAGTCAGCCGTGGGAGAAAGGTGCTCCGTGAGAGCATCGGAAGCGGCCCTCTGATGAATACCGCCTGCTGCCAAAGTTTGTGTTGATGACCTGTGGAAGGAGCGTACTCAAAGACAAGAAGAGCAGGGAAGGTGAGGGAGATGCTAAACTCTGCTCTCAGAGAGGTCTTCATGCCTGTTGTAGTCACTTCACTGAACCAAAGTGAAGGACTCACCATCAGGCTCTGCAAAGCTTAACATCACAGACTGGACTATGAGAGCAACTGTGAGGCTTCTTCTGCTAACAACTGGACCGAGAGGGAG